AACTGAAATATATTAGACCTCCAGTGTAACACGAATCTGATGATTGGGTATCTTGATGTCGAGTTGAGGTACAACCAAGTATTTTTTCATCATTTTTCATTACATAGTATCCATTGATGTCATGTTTATCTGAATAGTATATCTATAATAATAATTTAAAAAAAACGTACTTCATTGGTTATGCTTCAGTTGTTTCATAATTTTAACTATACTAACTAAATTATTCTTAACGATATTAATTGTCAATTGATGATATACTTTTAAATTCTGTAAGGAAAATTGAAAATAATTTTTAGAAGGAWTGAAGTCTTGTATGGAAATTATATTAATAAATTATAATATAAAAAAATAATTTCTGCTTTTGTTAGATAAATATAATTGTTATCCTAAAATACACAGTTACTATGTAAATACATAACCCAGTTTATTAATAATGTGTTCTATGTTCTTACTTGAGCATAAACAAAATAAAGTCCTGGTCTTAATACTTCAACTTTGCCATTTTTCATTGTGAAATGATTTGCATTGTTTGGATTTATATCCCAAAGAGTTTGGGTCCAATCTCTAAAATCACCATCCGGGTGTCTCAAACGACCATTTCCTATAAAATGTATAGTTAATTAGTTGATTTAATTGCTTTTAATTAATAAGAATACTTCTTTGGTAATGTGAATAAATATAATAATGTTATCTTAGTTGTGAAACCCTCAGAGAAAGTTGTGTACCTGCATTTGTTACTTATGCATGATTTACCAAAATGTACGTCTAGCTGTTTCAATTCTGTATTGTTATTTGTTAGCTTAAATATTCAAGTGGATTGGCCTATTATCAAACTCTAATATAAGAAAATTGTTTTATTGTCTTTAATTTTAAAATTAATTTTGAGCATTTTTAAATATTGAAATTTTATAACTTATATAATTAATTTAAAAATAAAAATATCATAAAATAAACAATAATAGAACATATAGATAATGTCCCTACATTAAAGTTTGATAGTTAGTCAATGCACTCTAATATTTAAACCAAAATACAAAATTGGAACTGCTTGACCTATATTTTGATATAATATCAAGTATTAGAAAGTTGGTGACCCGGTCTGTGCACAGGAATGAATGATGGGGGAGGAGGGGGGTGTTTTGAAAATATATATATAAAATAGATACATTAATAATTAGCAAATAGTATCRTAACATATTTATATTTATTATTAATTTTGTAAATAAGATTATAAAATATTACATAGATAWAGTCAATATATCAAAAATGAATAACACAATTTTTTTAGTCATGGTGGGGGTTGAACCGAACCTCCAAACTTCCCACCCCTTGCACACAGGCCTCATAGAGATAACACATGTGCGTGGACGTCCTCTTAAGTTACATTATATTTGTCTTTTATTAAATAATTATTATTACCGTTGTAATGTGGATGTGTTTTGGTATTATATTTTGAGGAATCGCTTGTAAAATGTRCTGCAGCATTTTCTTGAGTTTCTTTAAAATCTTCATATGATTCTTCATCGTCTGACTCCATAGAAAGTTTTTTTTTCATGATTCCCATTTTTTTAGACTTTCGTCGTCTATAGTTCTTCACAGTATTTTCTTCTTGAATTATTTCTACATCAGCCTTTTCATTTTTTGAGCTTTAATAAAAATAAAAATAATGGTTTAATTCAATTAGGTAATCTTTTATTTATTTCATCTTTTGAGTTATGATTATAATCTCAACTGTGTTATAGTTATAGATAGTTACATTAGGTATGTATATTTAGTGGCACACAGATATTTTAAGAGCACTGCAGTTATAAAAAGTTGTCACCSATCCACCCAATTTTTTATTTATAAAAAATATTTTTACTTATTAATCACTGTATTTCAAGGAAAATGATTATTGTAGAGTACCTATAGTTTATGTTATAAATTTATAAAATTCCCTGTGAAAACTGTAGTAATATTTAGCTACCTCTCTTGAGAACACATACAGTTGCATTACTTGCTAACCTGCCTAAGCGCCATTGGGTATATTTAATGAATGTAAATATTTAACTTAATGTCTTAATATAATGTGTGTGTAAAACTGTGATGTTGGCCTGATATAAAATGTCCTGTTCTATTAGCTATTTGTTGTCCATAAACTAACTCAACTACAAATCTTAAAAGTCATACATGACTCTAATAATTATATTAATATTAATAATTTTGTGTCCAAAGCTAGTATTATATGCAGGTTGATCTACATTTAGTGTGTTATTACTAAAAATAAATTGTATTATTTTTGATTGAATGTCAATTAGATTAAACTAAAAATGTATACTTCTAAAGAATAATGTAAATGTATAAAAAAAATTACCTATTTAATTCATTTTTTACTATTGTCGTTGCATCAATCACAGCGTTGCGCCGTTCACGGTTTTTTGGTTTGTTTGATTCATTTGTCTGATATGTCTTTGCTGGCCAATTATTGTCCAATAAGTCTCTGCCCATAAATTTATCTCCTTCATTATAGTCTTCTTCTATATCTTCATARTCGTTACCATCAATTTTAGCTTTGTGTTGATCTTTGTATGTATTGCTCACATGCTTAGCCACAAGTTCATCTCTAACTATGTCAGTGAAGGTATTCAGATCACGAATTGCATCCTCAACTGTACCTACAAGTCGATTGATTTGTTGATTAGTGTCCATGTGCCATTTGTAGGACAATGTAACAGTCAATAAACAACTGAATATGCACAATAAAACTGAAAAAATTAGAACTATCATTTGTATCGATATAGGAATAGGAGATATTGGAGATTGTTTGGTAGACGGCGACATGTTGTAATTACGAGTGAATCCGTTGCCTCCAACGTACATATTTTGAGGACTAAGCGTTGAATGTTGGTGGTTTACATACTTCTGGGACGTAGCAGAGCACATCTTGTTCTGTAATGATTTTTATACTGTTTCTCTCATAACATCAAATGTTTTTTAAAACTGGATAGTGCATATGTAAATTAAACGTTTTTATCTAATCTTTAAATAACCTTTGAACTTTTATCAGTAGAAACGTAAATAGTTTCCTTTGTGTGTTCCTATAAAGTGACCTATAATTGATTTCGGTATATTATTATTATTCAGAATAACTATCACATTGAGTCGACTAAAATTGAATAGTAGTTTAAGTTTTTACTTAGGTCTTGGATACGTAAATATATATTTATTTTTGATTATAATATAATTTTAAATATGTATCGAATTACTATGATTATGGTTTGTTCAACGCTATAATTAATTATTTATGAATCAATAATACATAATATAATAAATATTGACTATTTATAATTATTTTTCAGAATAATTAGGAATTTTATTTTAATCAATTTTGTGGGTTTACAATAATACAATATTAATATAACCTACTAAAAATGAATGATATTTTTATTGATCGTTTTAATTTATTGTTAAATAACTCATTGAGCAATGAGTATTGACGAATTTGTTTTACAAATAACGTTTATTTATCCATAATCATAGAAGATAATGAAAAGGGACGATACAAAAATTGGATGTATTAAATTTGTGTTGTAAGTTATTAATTATGATATTAAATTTGAAAACAGTAGTAAATGATTGGAAATTGAATTTAGTAAATAATTTTTATTRAAAAACAGCAATTTCAGGTACTAGATTTCAAAATGTCTTCAATTTGTGTCTGTTTTCGTTACGCATATAAGAAAAACTACTTAGTACCTACCTACTAACAAAATTCGTATTTTTAATGTATGTTCAAACGGTGATTGGAGATTGGAAATACCTATATCATTAATTTACTTTAAAAGTGTTTTTTTGCAAAAATAA